GCACCATACCTACAGGTTGGGGAACTCTCTTCTTGTCAGTGCGGAGGCAGAAAAGGATCTTGGAGTCGTTATTGATGTCAAGATGAACATGGGCCAACAGTGTAGGGACGCGGTCAGGAAGGCCAGCCATACCTTTTCATGCATCCACAGATGCATCTGGAGCAGGTCCAAGGTGGTGATCCTCTCCCTCTATGTGATACTGGGCAGGCCACCGTTGGAGTACTGTGTCCAGTTCTGGGTGCCGCACTTCAAGCGGGATGTGGACAACATGGAGAAGGTCCAGAGGAGGGCCACTCATATGATCGGGGGGCAGCAAGGCAAGCCCTACGAGGAGAGGCTACCGGACCTGAACCTGTTCAGCCTCCAGAAGAGAAGGCTGAGGGCGGGGTCTAGTGGCATGTTACAAACTAGGCAGAGGGGACCAGCAGGCATTGGGGGAGTACCTGTTCCCCCGAGCACCGCCAGGAGTTACTAGAAATAACAGTCACAAGCTGGCAGAGGGTAGATTCAGGCTAGATATCAGGAGGTGCTACTTCACTGCCAGAGCAGCTAGGATCTGGAACCAGCTTCTAAGCGAAGTGGTGCTGGCCCCTACCCTGGGGGTCTTTAAGAGGAAGCTAGACGAAAACCTTGCTGGGATCGTTTGACCCCAGTACTTTTTCCTGCCATGGCAGGAGGTCGGACTTGATGATCTGCTCAGGTCCCTTCCAACCCTCCCAACTATGAAACTATCAAGTGTGTTGGTTTCTCCCCATTGCTGGCTCACACGTTGCTCTGAATATGTGCACCACAAGAATTTCTGGGTTGCTTTAATATTATGGCATGCTAACACCCCTGAGATCTTTAGGGCCATGTTAGTGCTGGTTGGGACTCTAGTCATGTCAGGGTTGACACCACTATTGCCTTTTGTTCCCTTTCTGTATGTTTCAGGCTTTCGCTTATTCTCCTCGTCTGTCCCAGGAGATTGTGGGAAATCAGAACCTCCCCACTCAGCCAGGAGGCGGAGAACTTCCAGTTCCAGGTGAGATGTTAGACTGATACTTTGTTTCTAATGCATTATTCCATCTGCCTTTACAAGACTGATTTGAGACAGCTCAGGAAATTGAAAGCTGCAGAGCTCAAGTAATCATTTTTTATTGCATTTACATTTGAATTTGTCAAAAGATTTTTCTTTTTTTTACTTTATTTATTAATGAATTCAACTTATCAAATAAAAAAAAAAATGTTAAAAGATGCATCCAATTTGCCCCATAGAGACAAATGTGCTCTTTTAACCCAAGTCAATGTCTGCCAGGTCTTGTGTTCTTTTCTTCACTTTCTTTCAGTCTCTGACAGTTCCTTTATGTTTCACTTGATGTTAGGCTTTTGTGTTTCTTTATTAGTAAGTATATAATAATCCACGCCCTTGTTTTTCTCAGAACTCTACATAATACAGATCTCACTATCTTCTGCTCATCTCTACGTTTAAATTTATTCCAAATTTATTTTCAAGTGTTAGCTCATACAACTTGTGCTTTTTTTAGTATGAAGAGAAGTTTTTCAAACTTCTGGTTTGAAGGAATTTTTTTCTGTACATTAGAAAAATCTTTTAATTTGTTTTAAATAGAAACAAGGAATATGCTTGGAAAGTTTTATTCCTCTTTTGTGTGTATTCCCCCTTTAAGCACAATAGCTTTAAAGAGCAGCTTAGGCTACAGACTGGTTAAGTAGTTTCTGTAATAGATTTTTGTGCCTCAAAGCGTTGAGTTCATCCAAATCTCAAACAGGATGATGTTGGAATCTTGGTTTCTGTGCTTTGGCTGAATTCAAGGTGAACATGTAACGTACTTACCTCCTGCTTTTCTTGTAACCCTTTCAGTGAACTAGACAGTGACCAGGAATGGCAGAGATGCCAAGAGGCTGCTGTATCAGCAGCAGACATCCTGAAGCAGAGTGCTCTTCCTGGGGTGTCACATGACTACAGCCAGGCCCAGAATCAAGAGTGCACAGAGCACAACCAGAAGAAGAAGAAGAAAAGGAAGAAGAAAGTTAAAGGAGAGAGTCATAATAATCAACAGATACCAGAAGCAGTCGGGTGTGGTGAGACCAGCAAGAATGCTCTGTGTCCCATTCTTAGCAATGGAGAGCATGAGCGACAGGAAGGCAGATATACAGATGCCAGATCAGTGAAGAAGAAAAAGAAGAAGAAAATCAGGAAAGAAGAGAATACATATTCTAGTCTACAGACTGCAGATGGTCAGGATGGATGAAGGGCACTGAAAGGTTAACAGCGAAAAGTAGTTCCTGCAGAATGTCTTTCACTGGCAGTGGGGGAGCATAATTGCCAAAGTTGCTATTTTAGGGTTTCAGAGCATTGAGAGCTTATTTAAATGGCTGGCCATATTGTGGTATCTATTGGGAAACAGAATGGAAGACCAAGCCCAGAGGAGATACCTGCACTGCTGCTTAGGTGGACCTTGCTTGGAGGGATGTGGCATTTTGCACAGACTTTGATAATACAGTGACATATTCATAGTCCCTTCTGCCTGGTTTGATCCTTTTGGTGTCGAGGACAATGGATCTGGTCTGAGCATATATGTGACAAGCTGATTTTGGTGGAAATGGGAGCAGAGAATCAGTTCTGTTTCATTTCTCTTGTCACCTCTTGCCAGAACCAACAGAAGAACACCTCCAGCCAGTGAAAGAGACTGGTTCATTCAATAGCATCCTGATGGCTGTTGGGGGTCCACTTATGTCTCCTGCAGTCACCATCACATTATCAAAACCTGCTGTGTTACTAATTCCCTTGTCATCTGCACTGTCTTGGACTCCCAGGCTAACAGCTACTGAAAGAGCATGCAGCTGTATGTTGTTATAAACTGGTGTTTCTTTCAGAGCTATGTCCCTTGAGGATTTATTTTCATAGTATTACACCTGCCACGTGCAGTAGAATTTAATAACAGCCAACGCCTCTTGGTCTCATTTGATATATCATGTATTGTTCACAAGTGCTCTGTGCTTCCACTCAGATGGATGTCTGCAGCAGAGTTGCGTAGGTCACATGATTTTATATGTACAGCTGTTTATAGTAACTTGACAGTCAGTGCTGTAGAATTACTGGAAACAGGTGCTCTCCAGCTTAGTTTGGCATTTCCTGTATTTATGTCCTTATTTGGACTTGATCAGTCAGGTTGGTTTATTTCTCTGAGACTCAGCAGTTTTTACCACTATTCTTATTTTCTTAATAGAGGTCTGCAATTCTAATAAAGCAGGTCAAAATCCATTATTTGGGTGAGTTGGGAATACCTTTATCTATCTTTATTTGTGTTTTTGAGGCTTGTGGGTCTCAATAGCTCTGACCATTGGACCTCTCCCCTCCTCCTGGAGCCTTAAAACCTCGACTAGAGCCACTGAACTAGGAAAATGCTGCCTCGTGTAGTACATCAGGAAATCTCACATATTTTTCTCCTGTTAGAGCCCAAACACCATATTGTTAAGATTACAAATATACCTTTTTTCCAAAAGAACCATAAATTGCATTCATGTGCCAGATTACCCTTTATTGGTTACCATGACATCTTTTACTTCAGCACGTGGTATTTTTGTGTGTGGAATAAAAATACCAAGTCAGAAATATTTCAGGGCAGGTTTTATTTAGTTTTTTAGTTTATTTAACCCTCTTGGTCCTTTCCCAGTGTACTTGATTCCCCTATGGACTTTTTTTAAAGAGCAATAGTGTTCAAGGTCTTTATTTCTAGTTATAAACCTACATTCAAGGAAAAAGCTGTTTTCCTTAAAATTGACCCTGAAAATGTGGACTCAACATATATCCAGGTCCACTTATAATCAGAACAATGTGGTATTTTTCAAACCAGGAAAAGCTCTGCTGGCATTTCAGACCCGAAAGACTATTTAGAAAATTGGCTTGTAAATTAATTTTAATACACCAACAAAAACTGCTTGCCTAACAGCCATCATCAAAATGATCGATAACTAACTTTGTGAACATTATGAAGTTTGTATATGAATCTTCCCTATTCCCCTGAATGTCGATGTCACTTATTCAATCAAGAAGCTAAATGTACAACAGCCTCTCACAGGATTTTCTTTTCAATTTATTGGAAGTTAAATATATTTACAGGATAATGCACAGTGGAGAGGGGGAGCAATTCTAAAACCAAATTCCACCAAGAACTTCAATTACTGAAATTCATCTACAGCTGATAATATCTGAATCCAGCAAGAAAATCTCAGTGTAGACGGCAGTTTACATCTTTATGCTTGAAATTGCCAGATGTGGTGGCCTTAATGATCACTGTCAACTTATGCCTTTTGCCTTTTATTCTCCATTGTTTCTTAACCTTTTGGAGGTTTGATCATATTTTCCCTGTAGGGGTTTTGTCCTCTATGCAGTGAAATTGATAGCTTCCATTATAACCTTGGAAATAAGCTTATTGTGGCTTCTGGTGTATTTGTTTGCAACTCATTAATGATGTGAAGGACATAAATGAGAAGAGAGGAGAGGAATTATTTGAGGAGTTTATAACTAGTAACCCAAAGCCTTTGGTTATGCTAGTTCCTCTGAGATTTACTCACAGGAGAGCTGTAGCAGCCAGGTCACAGTGAGGATAATGATTGAAGATGGGATTAAAACTTGTTAAATATACCATTCCACCTATGCGGTGATCTTTATAAAAAAGAGCTGGTATATGTTACACAGGCAGTGAGATGCATACACAGCCTGTGGTGAAAAGGACAATGGTGTTAAGTTAGGAACAGCTTAAAGAGCTAAGTTTCTGAACCATAAGGTAGCTGTAAAGTGTCAGGCCACCTCTTCTTTTGCCTGGCCTATACACTGCTATGCCCACTGGCCACACAGGGAAAGGTAAGAGAGGTGAGAATCACATCTGTCGACGTAGAGAACTAAGTAGTCTTTCCTGCTCCTGAACTTCAATTTTTGCATTTTAAATGAAGTAAAACTAATGAAAATGCTCAGTTTTTTTTTTCTATTGGCTGTGTGCTGTTTTAGGGTGGGTAATAGGTTTGAGCTAAATAAAATTGATATCAAGTTAAATGGTAAGGGTCAGTGTGTAAACCCATACTGAGCAAATTGTCCATGCCATCTCTGATTTTATTTCTCAGTAGTCTTAGTTTCAAGGGTAGAAATTGAGCTCTTGTATTGGCTGCTCCAAGATGATTCTCCATCTCACTCACAAGCATGTTTCCATTATCTTTGGCAGCAGCAATAGGAGTATCTAAGGGTCTCTGCATTCTGCAGCTCAGCTCTGCACTTTCCTGCAGGGTTTGCTCTGGAGTGGACAAGCTTATGCACACCCAGCCCTGCCAAGGGCTAAAACCCCAGCTACACCCCCTCACACTTTACTAGAGTTCAGTCAGATCCCTGCGCTGCAGAAATCCTCAGTGGGCAGCTACAAGGATTCCTGGTTTGTCTGTGGTGGTCATTGTTTCCTTTGGCAGTGGAAGGTAGTGGTGTTAGGCCTATTCTTCTGAATTATCCACCCTCTGTGTGCATTCATAGCACAGTGCCTGAAAAAGTCCATTTCCCAGGTTGTGACACACGGGGGTGAGGAGTCTGTACAAGGCGGTGGAGGGGCAGGAGGCCTTTGGCCACAGCACTCTCGTCACCATGGAAGGCAGCCATGGTGGTGACTCGCAAACACAGATGGCACTTCTCCTGACAAATGTGGTTGTGACACTTGCCCGTGAGCTGGTCCCCATGGTTACTGAGTGGAGGATGCCATCTGTGCAGAAATGAAGGTCTCTATAACGCTGTGAGTGGATGGCAGCAGGTGGCTGTGACTGTTGGTGGAGTCAGAGCTCTGGTAGAGCACCAGGCTGCTAGAGGATGCTGTTAAAACACATGCACAAAACCACAGTTTGAACCTAGTCTGTTCTTTAATCTGTTCCCTATTCCCTTTGTAACTCCCCTCCCCCTTTCAACATGGTATGTAAGCAGACTTCCTCTTGGAGAGTAGGCCCTAGTGTCTGCCTGTCACATAAGACTTATTCTTTCTTCCCTCACTCCATGTGCAAGGACTTGCATGCCTGTGTCCAGTTGTGGACTCCAAGCACAATGTTACAGTCAATCCTCAGGGATTTAAAGCTACAGATTATAGTTGCTTCTTGGCTTAATGCCCTCCTGGAGCTGGAAAGCTCCATACTATCCCTGAAGGCATCTCATCCTGCCTTGTCCTGCATACTTTCTGTAGGATTGACTGCATTCTTTAATGTTAGTCATTTGTACAAATTCCACCAAAGGCCCCATTTCCACGCCCATACTTTGGTTTGGATGTGCTGGAGAATTCTTGCTGTGGACTGTGTTTTAGAGTTTTCTTTTAGTACGCTAGAGTTCTGCATCCTTCAGGACCTTGGCACAGTCCTGTTGCAGAGTGCTCAGTGCTGTTATCAGACCTGATAGGATGCTGGCAGGAAAGGGAGGAGCACCTTTGTTCTTACCAGCTGGGCTTGAGGTGAGGCGAGGGCCTGGCTGAAGGTGCTGAATGGTTGTGTCTTGATTCTGTAAATGTATTGTTTGTGTTTGCGACACTGGTGTGTGGATCCCAGACTCTGTGTGGTTCTCTGAGTCAGATGTGAACACCTAGAAAAATAATGTTACAGCGGGGCAGGGGTCATGTCTGTCATCTCCAGCAGTCCTAATAGGCAGCTGCACAGGAAAAGCAGGATTGGAAACAGCAAGCAAGTCCCATTTCGAGGGAGACTCAGCAAGCCTTGGTGGTACAGCAGGGAAGCTTGCCCTCATGTAACCATTACTCCAGCTGGTACTGAGAAGGCAGCTGGAACAGCATGGATAGTGTGCCAAATGTGATGAGCTGGCAGGAGCAGGGTACCATTCCCTGTGCTGTGATTTTAGGTAGGGGAATGAAGCCATGTGCATAAATCCCAAGGTACCTGTTTGGTTGGCGTTAGGTTACTCAAGGCGCTGAGATTGGCTGTGTCTGTTATCAGCATGGTCTGCGGTAAAAGGCCGGTATGTGCATATTGGGCCACGTCTGACTTGGGACCATAGAGAGCTGGGAATGGGAGAAAACAAAGTCACGTGGATGTTGGAGCTCTGAGAGTTTGAACTAGGAATAAGAAGGCTTAAATGATGAGACAAGCTCAGCTAAAGTGATGCCCATGTGAGTCTGCTATCAGCCAATCCTCAATCTGAGACAGAAATTGTGGGAACAGAGAGGCTGGAAGACCAATGCAGAGGAGGAACCTTCCCCTGTTTCACTGTTCTTTTCCTTAGAGAACAGCGCAAGACCAGGGACTGCCCAGTAAACCTCCCAAGTGAAGGGGACTGCATGGACCTGCACATTCAAGGAAAACTATTGCAACTTACCATGGGGGCTCTGTATCTGGGCCATGGTAGCCATGAAAGGGCTCTGATTGATGTGGCTCTGGACCTGCTGCATGATGGGCTGCTGATAAGATGGGTGGAGCTGCTGGGAGAACTGAACTGGCTGCAGGGTGGTGAGGCTGCTCCCCATGCTGTTTATCACAGGGACACTCTGGGCTTGGGTTGAAGCCAGGCCTGAAAAATAAGAACAAATGATACTCCCAGTTCCTTACCTAACTCCACCTAACTCCTTACCTAGCTCCACCTTTCCCCTAAAGGTAAGCGTGTGTTCTCTTCTAGGTTGGCGGACCTCCTCTGGCGGGCTTTAAACTAGGCTCGTTGGGGGAAGGGGTATATGAGGGCAGAGGAAACATCAGGCTGCCAGATCAAACAGCACCCACAACTACAGCCCAGCCCAGACCACCGAGCAAAGCAAATAAACAGGTAAGAGATAGGGGCCAGGGTAATGCTGGGACTAGGGGGTCAGTACATGCACCTACAGGAGGCCTCAAATGCCTCTACACAAATGCTCGTAGTATGGGTAACAAGCAGGAGGAACTCACCCTCCTGCTGGCTGACACTAGCCTGGACATAGTGGGGATTACAGAAATGTGGTGGGACTCATCACATGATTGGGCAGTGAATGTCA